GGGTTTGCCTCCATTCTCCGTATTGTCGGGGGCGTCTGCTCCTACCAAACAACATTCCTCGAAAGGGTCAGAGGTAAGGGCACCTGCAATCGCAAGTGCGTCCATGAAGTCAAAAACCTCTTCGCACTAATCAAAATCATCATGGCAACGAGATAACTTCACGCTATCATCAATAGAGAATGTGTTCTCCTCCTCTCCTGCCCTAAGCACCAACTTTCCCAATGCACATCAATCAAGGCCTTGGCGGTGGCTAAGAAAGGTCAACCCAAGATGAGGGGGACCTCTACTTTCTCATCAATGTCCAAGATAACAAAGTCAACCGGAAAAACGAGAGGTCCTACTTTAATGAGCAGGTCCTCCACCACACCTCTAGGTCGTACTACAGACCTATCTGCTAACTGAATGTGCATCCTATGGCTCTAACTTCTCCTAGTTCTAACTTTTGAAACAACTTATAGGGCATCACATTAATGTTAGCCCCTAGGTCCGCCAAGGACTTTCCTATGTACACATCACCAATAAAGCAAGGGATAGTGAAAATCCCTGGATCTTTACGATTTGGGGGCAAGTGGTTCTGCACGAGGGCGGAGCATTCCTCATTCAAGCTCAAGTAGCTACCCCTTCAAGCTTCTTCTTGTTGGCGATGAGGTCTTTCAAGTATTTTGCGTACTTGGGCATTTGGGTGACAGCCTCCAGGAAGGGGATATTTAAATGCAACTGATTAATCAACTCCATGACTTGGGAGAACTCCGCTGCCATGCGGTCATTGCGGAGTCGTGAAGGAAAAGGGAGAGTTGGGGTCGCTTTCCTTTTTTTTCTTTTTGCTCCGGTTGAGGGGTGGGAGTGACATCCTCTTCTTGAGAGGATGGTTGAGGAGTTGTGGAGTTGGGGTCCCCTTCACAGGTGGATTCTGGCTGTCAGGAGTAATTATCGCCCCCTTTTTGCTCATTTGTTGCGGATTGTTTCCTCTTTGGGGGAAGCTCTTTTGCCTCTCTTCCGCTTCGAAGAGTAACGGCCACTACATCCACTTCGTAGGATGACTTCCAAGACCGAACCGCTTGCGAAATAACTCCTATGCTTGTGGCTAGATTGACCAAGTGGGTTTCCTGACTATCTTACCCCGCCTCGATGGCTGAGAACTTCTTTGTTGCCTCTCCAATGAATCTGTTGATTCTCTCAAACTTTGTCGAGCTGGAGGCGACGAAGGTCATCAACTCCTCTTCAAGGCGGGTCATCCAGTGGCACTCTACTTCCTCATAGTCCCAACTTGCACCCTGCTCCATAGGTGCTGCTACCCCGCTTGCTTGCCCCTTATCCTCGAGCATTACCCCGATCAGCTGATCTAACTTCGCTTCAAGTGGAGCCATAAAGCTTCCCATTGAAGTCGGGGCTTTCTCTTCTTCTTGGCTCCGGGTCATGCACCACCTACACACAATCGGAAAACACCAAGTCTAGAACAAGCAAAGAACACACACTTGCAAAACTGAAAATTAAAAGCTAGATTAAATCAAACAACTTTTTCAAGATAACAGATCGTTGTCCCCGGCAACGGCGCCAAAAACTTGACTCGCACGAAACTACACCACAATAAAACCCCAACTAGAGCCCAAGTTTTTAAACTCTAGTTGGGTGCAGTATAGGGCAAGTATTTAGATATCGACCCGGGCCGGTCCGTCTACCGCTACTTCAGTTGTTGAAATCATTATCTAGCAACTAAGTTTTGGTTTAAAGGTTTGCTAATTGAAATAAAAGAAAGCAAAGGTGATTTGGTTTGGAAAATCTTTTGTGGGAAAGTCACTCGGGTGTCGCTTCCCCCTAACTGCTACCATGCTATGTGATTTGGGACGATTTCTTTGGGCACGATAGTCGCGAACCGCAGAGGGATGCATATGTGGTCGGAGACCACAATTTCAATTGCTAAACCGAGGTAAGGATGAAAGGTCGTGTCACTGGACCCTCTCGGTTTAGACAATCGGTAATTGACTTACTCCCTCACTCAACTCTAAGGTCGGTCAGCTTAATCACAATTAATCGATTTGCTTAACTCAATATTAAGGGTTGCCCTAACTTAACCTAGCTTAGGTGGCTTAGAAACCGGAAGGAAAACCAACTCGATTGAGTCTCCCTTGGAAGAGGGATTTCCCTCTCTAAGCTAGGCTAAGGTGGCTAATTAGATTGCTAGCACCTAAATGCACAAACCTAAGGGTGCTAAGCACAATTATGCACAATCCTTAGGTTGTTAAGCACCTAAATGAACAAACCTAAGGATGCTAAGCTCAAAACATGTACAACCCCTAGGTTGCTAAGCACAAGCATGCACAATCATGATAAATAATGCCTCAATCATTGAATTGAACAATACCCAACGACAATCATCCAAAACACATACAAGAAAACTACATGGTAGAGTTAGGGTTTTACTACACCCAAGTGAAAGGAGGTCTACTCCATGCTAGAAGTGGGAAAACAAAAGGGAAAGAGGTGGAAACCATCTTTGAGGCTGCTCTCAGTCTTCTTGGCCCTTGAGTTGAGCTTTCCTTGGAGGAAATCTTCCCAAAATCTGCTTTGAAGCCAAACCCTAACCTTCTTCTCCCCTTGGATCATGTTTCTCTCACTAGAATGCTGAAGAAGGCTTTTCACACAAAAGTGGGCTCTCCCCTCTCTCCTCCTTTCAGCTCATCTGTTAAACCAGAGATGAGCTGAGTTCACGGCCGTGAACCATGAAACGCGTCCGTGAACTGCAGGCGTGCGCCAAAATGCGCCGCGTCATTCACTCGAGTTCACGGTCAACTGCCTTTGTTCACGGTCTTAGTGACCATGAACTCACCTTGCGTCAGTAACCTTCACTTTGGCTCTGGACGCCTCACGAGTCAACTCCTCTTCTTCACGGTCATGCAAGACCGTGAACTCCCTTGGTTAGCCATGAACTGGCTTTTTTCACCTCTTCTCCCGGTTTTCGATCCTTTTCGCCAATCTTTCGACTCCGAGGCTAGTTTCACCTGTTAAATCCTGAAACACACTCAAACACGAAGAACCTAGTGTAAAACCAACCTTTAAGGAGTGAATTTGTCACAAACACCTAAGTAAAATGGGAGCAAAACATGTGCAAATCAAACAAAAAACATACCAGAAACTTAATATTAAAGCTAAATACTAGAAAACCCACAAAGCAAACCACAATTTTTTTGAAAGTACAGCAGAAACCTCATACTGAAAACCACAAACACGGTAAAGCAAACCAGAAACATCCTAATGCAAACCACAAATATATTAAAACAAACCAAAAAGCTCACAAAACTAACCACAAAGTTTTTGAAAGCACACAAGAAACTTCTTAATGCAAACCAAAAACACAATAAAGCAAAACCACAAAAGGCGTAGAAAAAACACGAGAAACCAAACCATAAATCTCACAATGCAGACCATAACATCCGGTGATCATTGACTGTTGCCCGGTTAACGAAAACCGTTGACCAAACTCCGACGAGTGTCAGTGACCGGATTCCGACGCTGATAAGAATATTCTGGTCTCGGTGACTAGATTCCGACACCGATAAGCATATTCCGACCACAATGATTGAATTCCGGCGGTGGTGAGCATATTCCGACGACTGTGAGAGGATTCCGATGACAAATAGCATATTCCGGTGGCCGGATTCCGGGGACGAAATTTAGGCCCGAAAATAAAAAAAAATATTTTTGAATTATTAATTTTATTATTTATTATTTAAACATAATATTCATAATGACAATTATAGCCTTTCATTGATTTTACACTAGGTCAACCTAACTAATAAAAAGTTATCACAACTCTAGCTTTCTATTGGTTGGAGACTAGTGTTATCCTAACAACAAAATAAGTGTTGTTATACTAAGTTACTAACTAGTCCCTTCAACCACCCAATGCTCACCCCTAACCGTGGGTTCGAGTGTAGTTAGGGCTGGAAGTTTGGTACCGGTAATTGGGATATACCGAATACCGTACCGAATTTGTCTATATTTGGTATTACCGAATACACATATTATTTCTTGGGATTGAGATTGGGATTCAATTTCAATTGTTATTCAGTATTAGTGATTACGGGATTGGGATCGGTATATACGAAATACCAAACAATACCGAAATATAAGCTAGTGTGTATTTTATCCTCACAACTAGACTCTCTCATTCACTACTACACTAGCCTCAACCACCAATATATTGTTATTTTCATAACACCAAAAAGCAAACACTAGTATTAGTCTTCTCTCAGCCTCCAATTTGTCAAATTAAAGATTACGAATGACAATAACTTGAGATGCCACCTCTACTCCATTCTCCTTATCCATATCCTAGCTCTAGCCAAAGTCAAAACTCTTTGTTTAGTCTTCTTGACTTATATTAAACAATCAAATCTAATTTATATATTTAATTATTAATTGTAAAGGTAATTAATTTTGTATTCGATAATACCGATTGGGATACCGAAGTACCAATTGAGATATCGAAATATTTAGGAATTGGGATTGAGATACCGAAATTATTTAGGGATTGAGATTGTGATTGATTCTAGAGTGTAATTCGATATTCAGGATTTCGGTATTTGGTATTGGGATACCAATACCGTACCTATTTCCACCCTTAGGTCTAGTTGCCTTTACTCGAGGGAAGGGTGAAGGAGCCAAGGAGGGCCCATTTTGTTATATGTTAAAAATACTGTACATCTTTTCTATAATAAAATATAATACAGGGACCATTTTGTTATATATTTAACTTTAGGTGTCTTTTAAGTTATAATACCATCTCCTATATATTTGGTTTACAGACGGAACTTCCAATCCCCATTCCCAGTTTGCCTAAATTATTCTCCCAAATCTTCGAGCCCTAGCGCTACCACTGCAGCTCTGCGAATCTCCATTCTCCCATGGCTTCCAAGCGGCCGAATCCGAAAAAAGACCCTCCAGCTGCTTCTTCTGAGGAAGACAGTTCGTCCACCGATGAAGCCTCTTCGGACGAAGAAATGCCGCCGCAGGTGAGAACGTTGCCTCCCCATCCACAGGGTCAACCGAAGAATCCAACTGTTGAGAACTCCGATTCCGACTCCGAGTACGAATCCGATACGGATTCCGACTCTGTCCCGCCGCCGAAGAGCTCTGGGGTTCTTCACAACGTGAAGCCAATCGCTTCCAAGCCCCAGCCTAAAGCTCAAGTGCGTACGGCGGCTCCTGGCTCTTCCTCAAAATCTTCGCCGGCGACAAAGAGGGCGAGTGAAACTGAAAGGGAAGCAAAGGACTCCAAGAGGCAGAAAAAGGTGGTGGAAGGCGACGCAGAAGGCGACGGTAAGAACGAATATACGCCAAGAGTGCTCTTCCAGCGGCTATGGGGTGAGAACGACGAGATAGCATTGTTGAATGGGCTGATCGAGTTTGCTGAGAAGAAAGGAGCTGATCCCTTGAAGGACTTGGCGGTTTTTTATGATTTCATCAAGCAGTCTGTTGCTGTGGATGTGTCGCTGTCTCAATTGAAGGAGAAAGTTATCAGATTGAGGAAGAAATTCAAGAATCACGCCAAAGGGAAGAATGGTTTGGACAAGAGCTTTAGCAAAGCTCATGACCAGAAAACTTTTGACCTGTCGAAAATGATCTGGGACAGCCAGGGAGAATCTCTTCTAGGTCGAGTTGCTATCGGTAAGTCAAGCGGAAAAGCGAAGAAGAGCAGTGGTGCTAACGGTGCAGGTAGCAGTAAAAGTGCATCTAAGGATGCTGATTTGGGTGCAGCGAATGGACATGAAAATGCAACTCGTGCTGCTTTGGGATCAGGGAACGAAGGAGGGGAAACGATGGAAATCGGTGGGGTCAATGATCGGAAAGATGGGTTAATCTTTGATTGGAGCCCAGCTGGTGCAGAAGTTGAGGCCTTTGTGGTGAACAAGGGAATGGACATGGTGGATGGATCGAAAAGAAACGAGCTTGCTAGAAGATGGAAGGAGCTCGATATCGAAGCTTTGGAGCACTTTGTTAAGAGGAAACAATTGATCATTGATCAGGCTCAGTTGATCCTGGACAGTAGCAGCAGCTAGGAGGAAGCTGGATTTCGTGAAGGAAGACAGCATCATCTAACAAGTTTTATGTTCTCGTGTTTCTGTTTTTAAATTTATGTGGATGTGATGTATGTTCCAACTGCTTTATCTTATGGAGAACCTGTGGTGCCTAGTGGCTCTCAATCTGCATTTTGCTTTGTTGGTTTGATTGAGAGATTAGGAGGCTTCCTAAACCATATTGCCATCTCTGGTGTTTATGGTTCTTGCTCAGTTATTGTGTAGGTTTAGATGCTGATGCTTTCTCGTGATTGTTGAACCGGTTTGATGGCTTTTGATTAGTTGAAATGTTAAGATGTGTTTGTTGGCCTGTTGCCTTCTTGAATCTCTGTGTTTGTTTCAATTAGATCATGTGTCCCCGAGGATAGCCTTCTTGAATCAGTATGGAAGAATGATTGGGGGTCTGTGTTTTATTTTTTTTGGTAGGTCTACGAAACTTTAGGGGCAATCGATCATGTTCAATCAACAAGTTACTTGGATAAAAACCAGAGAGAATGTAGTGTGGCTTCAGTCACCGATTGCTCCCTGAAGTCTTCCAGATGCTTTACATGGTGAAGTTCTTCACCTTAAAACCAGTCTCTTGAATTATTAATTAACATTTCAGACACGGATTAAAAGCTTAAACCAGGTAATGATCGCGTTTGCTGACTTCAATAGGTCACAATTCTGACTGGAAACGATTGGAGAGAAGTCCAAAAGCTTGGCATAGGCAACAAGGACATTCTGACTGGAAGTGAGTTGCCTACTAGCAACCACAGTTTCTTAGCTACTCTTCTTGTTCTTCCTTCCGGCATTCCCCCTTTTGCCCTTTTACTTTCTTCCCTGCTGCAGAAGCATTTTCGTCAACTTCTGAAGCCTTAATCCTTCCTTCATCTGGATTGGCACCCTCCACATCAGTACAAGTAGAGCTGTTTTCTTCCTTTTCCACACTTGTGGTAATGGTCTGGTCTCAGACGTCGTAATGTCTCCAAGGAGTAGCCTATCTGCACCTTCCTGCGATCGTGTGAAATTCAAAATTTGTTCATTGTTGGCCTTCTCAACTGCAACTTCTTGATGAGCTCTGCAATGGTTGACCTGTCCCTTTCACCGGCAGGTAAATGGGAAAATACGCATGCATTGCTGAGATGATTGGATTGTAAGCATGGAAATAAAGAAAAGGAAAGACTTGGAGAATATCTATGTGCAAGCTAACCTGGTATCAAGAATGGCAAGGAGCTGGTTCAATTCATCCAGTGCTTGCTGCTTCAGCCAACAACCTCATACCCTTCTCATCACTAGGAAGGTCCAGAACAATTCTATCACCCAGCAAAATCGAAGCCTTCTCTACCTCCTTCTGCAAAAAGAAAAGAAAAGGCAGAATGAGCACCGGTCAATCTGTCGGTGTGGAACAGCAGGAAATGAACTGGTGCAGATCATATAGTATGAGAGATGGGGGCGTACCGTAAAGATTTATTCTTGCACATATCGTCATAGTCAAAGCTTTATTGACTATAAGATTGCGTCAATGAGTTTGATATCCCCTAATACCTTCGAATCACAAAGTATGATGGCCCTGTTTAAAGTTCAGACCCTTGGGTTGGGGTGGCGAAAAAAAAGAAATTTGATTGAGGTCAAAGTGTAAGAGATCAGCGGCGGATCCAGGATTTAGTAGAGCACTGGATCGCATTTGAATAAAAAATTAGATATCGTAAAAGAAATACTATAATAATAACTAAGATTTTTATTATAATTGAAAGAAATAAAACCCCCAACAACCCGATCACTGTACCACCACTCTACTTTCACTGTACATTTAGACTCATGTTTACTGTTCTAACCTGGCGTGGGCTGCGGTATGGGTGGTTGCACGTGTTATCTGTTTTGCTTTGAACTGCATAGTTGCCTTCGGACTACTGATGAGACTTCTGGTTAGAAGGTTTCTCTTTCGAGGGTTACTATTTGCCGCCCGTCCCTTTACTATTTGCCGCCCGTAAATTAAACTAAAATGACATTTTTACCCTTTGTTCATTTTTTATAAAACAAACCCCGCCACTCCTGCTGTCACCGGCGCCAGTCCACCACCGCCGTCAAATCGCCGACGTCGCCACCACCGCCAGATCACCACTGCGGCCAGAACCAAATCATCACAGCCGGCGGAGGACCCCGTCCGACGCCGGCGGGAGGACCCCGTCCGACGCCGGCGGGAGGACCCCGTCCGACGCCGGCGAGCGGACCATGCATTTATAAAAAATAAAATTAAATTATAAAAAATATTGTAAAAACTAATTCATACTTATTTTATAATTATGTAAATAGAGCTAAAATAAATAAATTCAGTATAATACCAATTAAATAATTATAGTATGTTAAATAATTACAAATTATCTGAAGTAGTGTATAAATTATGTTTGAATAAATTATGTTTTTAATTGTATTTATTTCATATTTAATAAGATCAACGTACCTAAATTATGTTTTATAAAACTTCCAAGGAATCGAGGCACGAAGAGGACTCTTTGCGGCTTGGGGAAGGTCGGGCAAAAACATCTTTTAGCAATTACTAGAGTCACCGACATGAAAAAATATTGAAACTTTCATCGATCTCTTAAAATGTGGATACAAATGTGTTGGAATCGATTATTTCAACTGTGGTTAAACCCTAATTAAGTCAAACCCTAATTCGGATCATACCCTAATTAAGTCAAACCCTAATTCCCTCAAACAACAGTGGTCAAAATAATATATAATTTAGTCAAACTGTAATTCGGGTAAAACCCTAATTAAGTCAAACCCTAATTATGTCAAACCTTCATTCGGGTCAAACTCTATATAAATCAAACCTTAATTCAGGTCAAACCCTATAGAAGTAAAACCCTAATTTGGATCAAACCCTAATTAAGTCAAACCCTAATTCCCTCAAACAACTGTGGTCAAAATAATATATAATTTAGTCAAACCCTAATTCGGGTCAAACCCTAATTATGTCAAACCTTAATTCGGGTCAAACTCTATATAAATCAAACCTTAATTCAGGTCAAACCCTATAGAAGTCAAACCCTAATTTGGATCAAACCCTAATTAAGTCAAACCCTAATTCCCTCAAACAACTGTGGTCAAAATAATATATAATTTAGTCAAACCCTAATTCAAGTCAAACCCTAATTATGTCAAACCTTAATTCGGGTCAAACCCTAATTAAATCAAACCTTAATTCGGGTCATACCCTAATTCGGGTCAAACCCTAATTCCCTCAATCAACTACCATAAGTGGATTGAGTTGTTAACTTATTTGGATTGGGATGTTAATATATTAATAAATGATAATCATTAGATGTATTATATAATCAAAATAATATATTGTTAATTACGGAAATTTTCTTCCGAAAACTTATTACTCAATTTTCTCTTTCGAAAACTTGCCTTAAAAAATTCTCTTCAATTTGCTTAATTATCATTCTTATAATTATTTAAATCCTAATTATGGTATTTTACACTTATTTAATTACTAAATAAATAAATTATAATTCAAACACGATTTTTGGAAAAAAAAAAAAACAGTAACCGACGGTTTTTGGAACCGGTCCGCCGATGGATTTCGGACCCCGTCCGCGAAGGGCGATCGGACCCCGTCCGCGACCGGTGGTCGGACCCCGTCCGCGTCCGGCTGTCGGACCCCTTCCTCTACGTCGGCGACGACAGCACCCGTGGCGAGCTCCTTCCTCTTCAACGTCCGCGATTTTGTGAGGGGAGGTTGTGGAGGGGTCGGCGGACCAGGTCGGAGGAATGGAGGTGTTGGTGGTGGGAGCAGTAGAGGGGTCGGCGGTGGGAGCAGCGGTCGCCGCCGCCGGCAGTTTGTGCGAGGAGGTTGTGAGGGATGAGTTTGATAAGATTTAGGGTTAGTTAGAAGGAGGGGCAAATTCGTCATATTTTTTGTAACTACGGGCGGCAAATAGTAAAGGGACGGGCGGCAAATAGCGATTCAGTTCTCTTTCTGGTCTGGCTTTCCTCGCGTTGATCATGCGGGAACAGACAGCGCTCAGTTGCTGCCGTGGTTATTGGGTAATTGGTTAGGAGTAGATCTTTTCACGTCGTTTGAGACGATAGGATTAGTATTACCACCACAAAAATAGCTTGTCATGAGCAACACCCTATTCCAATGCACATCATCACTTTTTGCTCAGAAATCTGGAGAGAGGGGGGTCGTGTCAGATGAGCTTGGCGGGTTTACGTTTTAGTTTTTTTTTCTTCTTCCATTGAAGTTGGTCGTGGCTTTTCTCCAACCACATAAAACTTTCTGGGAGGCGCAACACCCAATAAGCCCGTCAATCACTTAGTCATGCCGAGCAAGAGGGGCGAGGTGTGAAAAGTAGTGAGATGGATGCTTCCTTTTGGCAAGAGAAATAAAAAGGCGTACTCAACCAATCAACCGTCTTACCAATATCGTATTTTCCTTTCTCTTTCGTCCCCTCTTTTTCTCTCTAGGATCTTCCGTTTCTCTTTCTGCTTCGAAATTCTACTCTATTAACTTCCGAGCAGAGATGTTAGATTGCCCAACCTCCGCTGGAGGTCATGCATATCTTGGGAATCCTCTCTCTAACGAAGAGGAAGATGTGGAACTGCATATATAGAATCCCGCAATTACAGAGGTATGTTTTTTTTTTCCTCTTTTACTTTTCTTGAATGGATTTATCATTTATGCTCTCTCTGTCTGCTTCAGAAGTTCAATTTTTAATCTTTTCTGGTAGGAACTTCGGAGGCCGAGATGTAGGTCGAATCTCAGCAGAAAACCAGCAGAACCAGGTAATTGATGGGAGTTCTAAAGCGACGAAGGTCTGGATGAAAGGGATTCAAAGAGAAACCAGATCCACAGATGGGTAGGGGGATTTCACAAACAATGTCTCTCTGTTATCGTAAATGGGTCCTCCTCTCTGTCCCAATTTCATGGATAGCTCTGCCATATCTCTAATCGAGCTGATCCATCGATTTGTTTCATGTTGATATTCACCTAGGTGGCTTCGCTCTTCCCATCGAGTTTGCTTGGTAATGTTGTGGTCGAGTATCCAACTACTGTGGGTGCTGTTGATGGAGATAGAAGGCTGCTGATGTTTTCCTTTTAATCGAACACGTCCGAGTTGGGGAGCATAGAAAGATTGTTGCTTCGAAGTCCACAGAGGGGATATTAGGTGGTAACCTATGGAATGATCCCTTTCCTTTTAATTTTCTTCTTTTTCTCTTGGCAGCAATGAATTAATCTCTCCATTTCATTCCTATTCCAAAAAAGGTACTCGAGCTACATCCATTTATTTTTGGTGGATGTCTTTGGCTTGAGGTATTGATTTTAGGATTTAGTTAATTGATTTCAAGAATCTGTGCACCTAATTGGAAAATAAAGTTTGAATCTTCAGGATATTACCGAGGTGGCTAACAAGAAGCTTCTCATTTCTTTTGCTTAATCACTGAATCCTCTGTAAGATATAAGGTGTTCTTTTGCATTTATCGGCAGTGATACCTGCTCTGGTTCTTGTACTCTGTAGGAATAGTGCATAATGCATTAACTAGCAAGCTTTACTTGATCCTGGTATGACCATGTGCTATTGATTTTCAATTTTTTGCTGGCTTTTCTGCAACTGGACTTTTCTTTTATTCTCTATATTTATGCTTTTGCTAATTGTTGTTTGCAGCAGCGATGGGAAGTTATAGGCCGTGGCCATGAATCTGTTGCAAACCCGGACCTTATAGAGGAATTCATTAAGATAATTAGCCATCGTCAAACGTATTTTTATTTACAAATATACTCATGTATGCCTTCAATTGTTAATTTAGGTGTTGAGTGATATTATTGAATTGTTAATTACCTAATGTTATGATCATATCATGAGCTGTTGAATTTCCTACAGAACATAACAGTTTGTTGCACATTGGGTTTATGTGTATACTGAACGTACTTTAAAATAGGAGATTTTGGGTGGATAGGCTCATTATATTTTCATGGGAAGAGTACAAGAACAACTAACGAGCACCAAATTTTGATGTTCAAGCGCTTTAAATTCTTCACTGTCCATGTTAGCTTGGTCAAATAAATTTGTACACCACATCCCGGTGCAAAGCGCGGGCATCAGAAACTAGTGTCAATTATAAACGATGGTTTTTTAGTTTAGCAAATTCATCAATAATAGAGTCTTCGTCCATACCAATAACATACTCTTATAGAAAATAGTTAAAAAATCAGCGAGAAATTCATCGCACATTCTTTTGCGCAAATCAATTTTCGCATGTTCCACTACTGAAAATGTTCTCTCTATTGTAGTCGTCAAAACGGATAACATCAATAATGTCTTTGCCTTTTTATTTGGTGCTTGAGAATATGCGATTATAAAGTATCTTCAAATCGACATAATAAAATATAATAGATTAATTATATACATTCAAGTTTCTAATTGACTTTCTGATTCTAATTCTAATATCATTAATCAAAATAACAAACATATGTTCCTTTCCATGAACGCAAGAGCAGATTATTTTGTTGGTTTTGAATGGAAGTTGAAATGAACTTTTTATCTCACGTAAATTATATTTGATTGGATAGGCTTTTTTTCATTAATTATAAGCTTACTATTGCATTTTAATTATGTAGACAATCCAACGGCCCTTTTGTTTGAAAAGCCCACTAGTAAAAACATTTTACCCAATTTTTTCAATAAAGAGAAAAGAAACGAGGGCTGGGCCAGCTCGATTATCACCGGATAAAATGATGTGGAGTGGGGCTATATACAAGTTCTGGAGCCAAGGGAGGGCTGGGCCCGGGCCCAGGTTGGCCCCCCCTTGGATCCGCCGCTGTAAGTAAGAGATGGAGCTTGCCTGTCGGACTCCATCTTGAAAATTGTTCTATTATTATTATTATTGTTGTTATTATTATTATTAGCTTATAATCCGGTCTGTTGGCTGGAATGTTTATATTTGATTTTTATATTTTTTTATGTTACGTTAAAGTCTGTCAACCTGTTGAATTTTATAGACAATCTTTCAATCGAGATGATACATAAAGAAAGAATATATATGTCGAATATTCAGAGAAATATCATCATCATTTGAGAATATAAAATGTATCATTGATCCCATTTTCATAACGATAATTAAACCCAGCTAAAATGTTATTAGTTAGTTGATTGTTAAGAAAGATACTGTATAAAAGCGCACTAGAATTCCCACACGACCCATAGATATTTGAAACTGAATCTAAAACCTCACAATCCTACATAAATGGTCCAATTCTCTCATTATGGGGGCAATGTGCCACTCAAAAAGAAATTGAGAGTTGTAGGTTCAAGTCAACTATATACTAACAACTCAGCTAAAAGGGGACCATCAAAACTTAAGAGCAAACGACAAAAATGGGTTACCTCCAATATATTAATAGACTCGTTCAAAGTAATAAGACGCAAAATTAGACACTCCTTATCTATCAGTTCAAGTAGGTTGAATAAAAAATCAAGCTACTTCATTAAATCAATAAATGATTCCTTGTTTTAAGATAGAAGTATGTTGTGGTAGCTGCAAAAACCATAAACCTAAAGATCCAATAGCCACCACTCTCCATTGAACGACCAATTTTTTTCTATTTCAATCTCAATAAGCATATGTTTCAACCAAGCATTCACTTTCTAATCCTCCTTCTGCAACTCCATTTTTGCTACTTTGACGGACCTTCTCTCTACGACCCTCAATTTCTCTTCCAATTGGGGTTCTTGTCAACTCGCTCTTCAACTCCTCAATCCTCTTCCTGTGCCAACTCATCATCCTCAAGGGCAGTTGTAATAAGTTCGCTAAAACCAAAACTCATCTCCAATTCCATCAATATGCTCATCTCCCACTTCACCTACTTCAGTACACTTCCATGCCCTTCAATACCCTCTCCATTTTCATTAATATCCTCATCATCTCCCACTTCTCTCTCTTCAACTGCTCCAGTTTTGCTTCTGCGTCTTTCAATACCCTTCTCAATTCGATCACTACCCTCAGCAACTACCTCTTCTCTGCCTTAACCTGTTGATTTTTTCTTCCCCCCACCTTGCATTCTCAAACTCAATCCCAACTCTTCTACTCCAAGTTCAACACCCCCAACTCCTAGAGTGTTGCATGAAAGCTCAATTTCTAACTAATTCTAAAACAATATCAAAATTTGATTAGTGAGTTGGACCATAAGAATAAAATTTAATGAGGAAAATTATGGTTGCGGAGAATATTAGTTATGACAAAATCAAACACGAACGGAAATATTATAATTGAAAAGAAACCTTTTTTTCTAATTTTGATGTTATTTTATTATTTCAATAGCTAAGCAAAGAACAAAAATAAAGTATAAGAAACAAACAACCAAAAAAATAGACATGGCGCTAAGAAATTACAACTGCCCCTGTTCTACACAAACATCTCCTTTGCTTTCAAACAAATATAGTACCCAAACCATCGTTCAAATTCATTTCCGATATTTTATAAATCATTCATAAACAACAAACTTAGATAAATCGGGAAGGAAATAATAGCCTACCTCTTCAAGTCGATGAACCTTATATTAAGATAGAAACTCATTGAAGTTGAAACCTAGTATCAGAAAGAGGAGAAATGACGCAGGAGATCCACCGGGCTTTAAATATCGTATCAGGGAATAAGATCAAAAGAAATAGATATTTTGCATGTTCTGCTCATGAGACAACGTGAAAATAAAAGTTGTTTTTGTTATTAATCAGAAAGATAAAACCATGAGACATGGAGAAGAAATAAATGACTTACATGTGCAAAGCAATTAACCTTCGGAAGACCGAAAACCTATTAAAGGTCAATGCCTGGTATAGGAAGAGGAGTAAAGGCGAAAGATATAACTGATCAAACATTGTCTTTAGCAATAGAAGCAGCAAAACAGTTCTTCTGGTAGTACATCGGGGAGAGACAGAACGTTTGGATTGTGCCAGTGCAGAGGAATCGAGCGAGATAGTTAAGGCCAAACCATAACTACTTGATTGAACTCCAATCTGTTCGCGATGGATTGATATGAGAGTTGAAATCTTCTACTTGCTCAGTTTAATTGCCCAAGAATAAAACAGTTCAAATGCGCCCTTATACTAGGAAGTGAAGCACGCAAGCTATTGCACGATAGAGGGAATTTAAAAAAAAAAGAGTAGAAAGAGACAAGAACAAAGATAAAAAAACACAAAATTTAAATTTATATTGAAAAATGCAAGGACACAACGCGTAGTAAAGGAAATAGTTTCTTCCATATTAGCCAATTACCAATTTACCTTTAGCAAAAATTAAGGAGAGAGCATGAATTTTAAAATGGTTAATATTACATGAAACTCTACTGTAAAAATTGAAGTATTAAGCACCATGAAAATTATAGGTGTCAAAACATAGCCCGATCCGATTAACCCGCCCGATCAACCCGACCCGCAACCCGACCGTAACCCGAATTGACTAAAAGACAACAACTCGTAACTCGCCCGACCCGCAACCCGATTGACCCACAACCCGACTAATCTGCAACCCGACTGACCCGCAACCCGATTAACCCGAACCCGATTGACCCACAACCCGACTAACCCGCAACCCGATTAACCCGAACCCGATTGACCCGAACCCGACTAACCCGTAACCCGACCGACTCAACCCGAACCTCACTTAGTCCACTTAAATAATTATTATAATATACAATACATAGTTTTTTAAAATAAAGTTTTTCATTCTAAACTTAGGTAAAATTATTTTTTCATTTTGTATAGCGAATTTAAAAAATATGAAACTCACTTGATATTATGTATTTTAAGAAAATTACAAAAATTGAAACATGAAGGTCACTTGAACACTAAGTTCTTTAACAAAATTAAAAAAGTAAATATAAAATCAACATAATGTCAATATTAATAATGAAGAATTAATAATTGAGATCAGGGACAATATTAATATAATATATAAATTAAAATTTTGGTTAATTTAACTATTAAATAAATTATCAATTAAATATAAATAAAATTAAGTAATGTATTTGGTAATTTGATGTTTTTAAAAAAAGAAAATTTTTTTGGTGTATTCAATTTTTTGGGAAGAGAAAGAATAGGGAAATTTGGTTCTATGAATTTTTTAGAAAAGAAACAAGTGGAAATTTTGGTGGTTTTTATTTGTGGGAAGAGAAGGAAGTGGGAAAATTTGGTTCTTTTGATTATAAAAGAGAAATAAGGAGGGAAATTTTGAGTTTTCAACTTTTTGTGGAAGAAAGAGGGAAATTTGGTTCTTTCAATTTTATGGAAGAGAAAGAGGAGGGAAATTGAGTGTTTCTAATTTGTGGAAGGAGAAAGAAGGAGGGAAATTTTAGTAATTTTTTTTTGTGAAAAGAAAGAATGACACAAATTTAGTGTTTACAACTTTTTGGGTTTTTCAAAATTTTAGCATTTGAAATATGAATCTTTAAATTTTATATGGAGGGCATGACTAGTTAAATTTATTTTTATATGCTTTGAAGGTTAATATATATATATATATATATATGTAATTGTTTAAGTGGTAATAAATAAATTAACCATTAGTTACAACAATTATACTAAACTTGATAAGTAATCTTTGACGGCTCATTGTTTAGGGTATAAAGTATATGGTTAGGGTATATGGTATAAGGTACATATGGTTTAGGGAGTATATGGTTAGGGTATAAGATATTGATGGTTTTGACGGTTCTAAGTTTTTTATTAACATATGTTCACTTGAAAGTCATTTGATGTCTTTAACGACAGGAGATCCCTTTTTAATTTATGTTTGTGGTACGTGGTTAGGGTACAAGGTATATGGTGTAGAGTATAGGATATATGGTTAAGGTATAACAATTAGCAAATA